TAATAGCTAATATGAGATAATAATATTATCTCATTCATATTGTAGCTTGACTTAGCTATCTCATTATTATGAAATACTATCTCATAATTATGACTTAGCTATCTCATTATTATGAGATAGTATCTCATAATTATCATAATTATAAGATACTATCTCATAATTATGAGATAGCTAAGTCATAATTATGAGATGCAAGTTTTGTTTATTTTTTTATCAGGATGGCGGAAATGGGCTTCCATAATGATCAAAGTATTTTGTTTACTTTGACAACAATTGCTATTTTTTTAGACAAAGTTGGAATAAAAATGAAAAACCTTCTCAGCCGTTTTCGTGCACTTCTAAAACTGACCAGCAGGTGGCGATACTCACCGAGCGGCGCCCGTGAGAAGCAAAAATAAACCAGCACGGTTCCCTTATGATCTGCGGGACGAAACGGAAGCACACAGTTTGTCTGCCGAGTTTTTTGTTACCTAAAGCAAGGTAAGAACTGAAAACATTCAGAGGCGTTTTAGTRGCTAGGTGTGTGACATTTAGGAGGTTGTTGTCAGAGTGTTTGTTCAGTAGAACAGTGTGTACGAGAGGAGGAGGAAGCAGCTGCGGGTGAAATGTGCGAGGAGGAGGAGGAGGAGGACGAAGGGCAAAGTCATACGTAACGTGGATTAATGGAGGCATGAAGCTCCAGGTCTGAACACAGGACAAGTGTTAGGAAACAACCCGGACTAAAATGTGGTTAATAAAGAGGTTATAAATAAGATAAATCTTTGTAAAACCTGTAAAGTTGTGTTATAAAACCCGAACGACATTGCTGTATTATCAGGACAAAACCTCTCAATCAGATTAAACTCTTACTTGTTAACTATAGGCTACCACTGTAACACCACAAAGAAAAGAAAGCTTTTTTACACGTAAATACAAATAAATTAACAAACAGAAAAAAGGGCAGCACATATAGTCTTCATTGTTAAAGATAAATAACAGTTTTTATAAAGGGTTTTGTGACATTTTTTAAATGTATTCAGCTCATAGTGATGTTAAAAGGTTTAATCTTTCAAATACTTTTCATCATCTGAAACTATGTCAACAATAAATCACTATCACTTAGCTCCACTACCAATTATTGCAGTAAATCCTAATTGAATTCTTATATTTGCAGGCTTTTATGATTTTGATCTTGTGATGCTTTATTGAAATGAAAACATCTGTTTTATTATAGACAGTTTGTGTAACAATATTGACATAATGATTTTGTCATTTAAAAGGGCACATAAATAACCAAAATCAAGTCCAAATTTCCGATTATTTGATTTTGATTATGCCTACATAAGTTTATTGAAAGGCAGCATGGTAGCTCAGCACTCAGGACATTTATTTCCACATTTCCATTATTTTTGCTTTAATATATTGAACATGTTGAGCTTTCTGGTGGATTTGGAGAACGACTAACAAACTRTCACTGCAGCAGTAAAACTGGTCACTGATTTGAAACACATTTTARGGAAAACAAGTCATATTTAGCTCATTCGGACATTCCAGTTTAAAATAGAATTCAAGTTAACAAAGACAGCTTATTGTTAGTCATTCTGCTGCAAACCATTAGGACAGGTTAACTGATTATGTAAATTTCTGAACATAAAAGGTTCAGGTTCATATTGTTATTAGTAAATATACAAGGAGCCCCTTCAGAGGGTCTGAAGAGCCACATGTGGCTCCRGAGCTGCAGGTTGTAGACCCCTGACCTAAACWAACAAAACTGATCCAGTTTGATAGATATTAAGAGTGCACAGATTGTTTACACTGATCATRTGTCTTTGCTCAGTACGTTTCTAATGTTTTGTAAGGGTTTATAGAAAGTTGCAGTTTCCTGTTTCCCTATATGTAGGAGCATTTAAAATAAACAGAGAAAAACAAAAGCTTAATCCTGATTATTTTTATGTTTTGATTAAGAACAAAAACAACAATAAAGGTGACAGACCTTCTACACATTTCCTGTGAGAGATGTGCCAGACTTTGCTGCCCTAAATTCATCTTCACAGATCTTATCTTCTAACAGAAAGAAAGAAAAAACTGAGACTATAAAGAAAATATTTATTTAACCAGGCAAATCCCATTGAGATCACAGATCTCTTTTGTAAGGGAGACCTGAAAGCAACCCAACCTGCATATTTTTGAACTGTGGGAGAAAACAGAGTACCTGGAGAAAACAAACACAAGAGGAACATGCAAACTCCACTCAGAAATATTACAAGTCCAAACCCAGGATTTTCTTGCTGTGAGGCAGCAGTGCTAATTATTACGCCATCGTGCTGCAAAAGATGAGAACTACCAAAGAAAAGCCAAAGTTTTAGCTCAAACACGTCAATTTTTTGTGATGGACTTGCGACCTGTCCAGGGTGTACCCTGCCYCTCGCACTGTGACTGCTGGATATGGGCACCAGTGACCCACGCAACCCTGAAAAGGAAGAAGCGTGTACAGAAAATGGATGGATGGATGGACGTCAATTTTTAACAGACAGATAATCTTGTCACACACTTCTTCTTCATGTATAACTAAACACAAGTTGTTTTCCCATGGTTCTGTGTTAAAGCAGAGGTCTCCAACCCTGATTCTCTTGACCCACTGTCCTGCATGTGTTATATATTTTCCTGCATCAGCACACCTGACTGAAATGAATGAACAATCGACAGACTTCTGCTAAACCTGAAGACGTGCTGAATAGGTAAWGTAATTATTTGAATCAAGTGTGTCGAAGCAGGGAAACAGCTAAAACAAGCAGGAACAAGGTTGAAGACCTCTGTGTTAAAGTGCCTGTGACATCAAACTTTTGTGATAAATATGATCGCACTTTTGGAAAGACAACATTGATAACGTTGCAAAAGCAATTTCACACCACTGAGATGAACATTTGTTGAGATATTTGCATGTGAAGAAACAAGAAGTGATGTCAACGGGGTGTGAACAGAGCTTTGCTACAACGGYTAACAACACAGACAGCAGAGAATTTTCTGATGTTTCTTTAGATAATTTTAGTTCCTATAAGAGAGATGAAGAAAAGTCAGAGTACAAAAAGTAATGTTTTAATAAACAAAGACCTGGGAGTTTTCTTTCTTAAAGAGTTCCCATTTGATGTCACCTCCTGTTTCACTTTAGCTGAGCCAAATTCAAAGGAAATGATGTCAGTTATGTGACAAAATGGGTAAAATCATGTGTTTTAGGCCAATTTTCCTAAATATGAAGATATTTTCTTTGACTTATTGTATTTGAAGGATAGGAGTGTCACAGGCACTTTAAAGTGTTTACTATATTTAGCATTTTCTGGCTAGCATTATGCTAGTTGCTACCACAACTTGACTTTCATTTGAGGGCTTAGTTAAACTGTTTTATTTTCTTCAAACATGACACTCAAAAGAACCTTTTTCCACCCTGCGTGTAAAAACGACTGTAAACACGTCAGCCCTACAGCAGATCTGTTTAAACAGGACAGTAAGGTCATCACACAACAGTCTCTTTGGTTTTTATCTTTATTTCCTGCTCCTTTGTGTTTTTTTGCACAGATGGCACACAGGCTGCTTTTACGCAGAGTCTGGACACTCTCSGTGAAAGATTTCCGCTGTCCCCCATCGTGCACCGCCACCATGGCCTCCTCTTATTCTACTTCCCTTCATTCTGTCCCAAGACGAGTCTCCTTCCTCGCCACATCACGAACTCGGCCCCTCCATCACACCCCCCGCCGGGAAGTCTCCTTTAACGTTCAGGACAACGAGGACTTCACAGAGAGGGTCGTCAACAGCGAGCTGCCCATATTAGTCGACTTCCACGCTCAGTGAGTGACAGCTGGGATTTACAGCTGACTGCAAGTGTTGCAACCTGTGTGTCTTGTTGTTAAAAGTACACACACTCCTTCAGCTTTACCACAAGTCTCAGAGTTTTATGTTGTATTATAGTTTTTTAAAAGCCCAATATTCCCTCTGAGCTTCGTGAAAGTCCTGCACACACTCTCAAAAGTGTTTAAACTCAGATGAGTAAAATACAACAATAGTACGAGATGATGTGAAGGAGTACACAATGTGTTCTTTWTTGAGTACTTCCCTGTCTGCTTCATTCGTGGACCTGAGGAACATATTAACTGTCAGTTATGCAAAAAGGAATTAAATGAAGGTCAGAAAATCAAAAATTCATCTTTCAACACTCCGAGGAGCTTTCTAAGGTTAAAATGTGTGTCTTGACTTCTGGCTGAGGGGAATAGGAGCTTTTTTAATTTAGCAGAGCCTGAAAATGTGACGCAAAAAATGTTTTCTATTAAGAAGGCCCGAGGCTTGGACTGCGTCTCTAATAGAGTTCAGATATAAAACTAAAGGCCTAGAATTTCATTAAGGAGGGCGTGTCGCCTWCCAACTTTCACGCTAGAGTTAAAACTAAAATCATCTTAATAAAATAATATTACACTGATTTTACAGAAATTTGCGAGACCTTGCGTGATGTTTATTATTTGTTGGAGATGACTCTCAGCTGTCACCACACCAAATGTTTGCCAAATTTCTATAAAGAGTTACATCCCTTTTATTTCGCTAAGGATGACTAACTATGATTTATAATTTATTTATTTAAAACAGGGACAATATACAGCATTCATTAACCACAAAAGGAAAGATGCACTGTATCAGGTTGTAGCTCTAGGTGCTAATTTCCTCCTGTAGTCCCTGACCCAGCTGATACAATATTTTAAAAGAGGCCCAAATCACCTCARCTGGTTCCTCTTGATGTGGAGGAGCAGCAGCTCTACTCTGAGTCACCCCCAGAGTTCTGAACTTCTCACCCTATCTTTAAGGGAGAGTCCAGCTAGAGAAAACTCATTTCGACCACCTGTGTCCACAGTCTTGTTCTTTTTGGTCACAACCCAGAGTTTGTGACCATAGGTGAGGGTAGGAATCTAGACAAACTGGTAAACAGAGTTTCACCTACAGTGCTGCTGTGTCCAAATTCAGAGGCTGGGTCCTCCGAAGGACCCAGTCGGTCTAGGTGGGTAGATGGCAAAGACCGGAAAAAAGGGGCTGTGAATTTGGATGGTCTAGCCTCCTGTCTTACCCCGGYGTACGCCCTGTCGCCTAGCAATCGTGACGATGCTAAATAGAAGCATAAATAGATAGAAATTAGAAAAAATATCAATATGTTTATTTATTAATATCACAAAACAACAAAATTGGCTTAAAGGCTATATTTGAAGGACTAAGGGACTCGCAGTACATGCATATTTATTTCACTATACCAGCTTGTTTGATTTCTGACAAGAATAACATTTAAAAACACGTCTATACAAATGACAAAAGTATTAACAACACAACCGTTGAAACTTTTAATTTTTAAATCGCCAGATTTTTATTTAAAACTGTATTCCTTTTTCTCGCTTTGTCCGCCATTACTAGCAGGAAAAAAATCTCTGGTCAGCCCGCAATGCATTATGGGATATGGTGATCCGAGAAGGATCCATCGGACCAGTCCCTCAATTCGAGACAAACGAYGCATTTGTCGACCGCATCRGAGGAGTCTTCGAAAGTGGACAGCCTCCGGCGCGGCGCTGTGATGTAAGCGGCCGACAAATTCGGCCTTCGGAGGACTCAGCCTCTGAGTCTGAACACAGCCCTCGTCTCTCTCTTCCCCACATTGGACCGGTACCGGTCCCTCTCAGCGCTCCATTCTTCCCTCATTCATAAACACTGAGATACTGAACTCCTCCTCAGAGTTTATCATTGATCTGCAGCCTAGGGTGTCCTGGACACGTTTGTGCTGCACAAACTGACTAACACAGAAGTCCAACAACAGAACACTGATTGGGTTCATATCGGAGAGGCTGTTCCTTGCATTGAGGTGAGCCAGACTGTATCTAGTCTGAACCTCTCAACCTCTCGCACAAGCTTAGACTGTTTCTCCATGAGGTAATATCCCAAGACTCAGCTTTGGTAAGCCAAGGTCAGAGTGCCAAGCTCCAGCTGCCACCTAAACCACTGTCACCTGACCTGACCTGTACGGCTCCTGCAGGTGGTGGTCCCACAAGAACGGGTAGAGGTACAGTCACCAGGTGTTCACCCTGTACTGTCTTCTGTCCACACAAATTGAAAAYGTTTTAAATAAAAATGTTTCATAATAAAAAGCCCAGTTGGAAGTGTTCATGATCCATAGAGCCGCTTAACTTGGTTGAAGGTGGTTTTCATTTAAAATTTATTTAATGGAGCAGAGCAGTACTGTTATTATTAACATCTTTATTCTTCATTTTCTTTTTGTGTGTCTTAAACGCTGACATTTTAAAACTTTAACAGTTTGAAGCTATATTTTACAGAAAGTCACGCTGTATTTCCAAATGAGTCCACTGACAGTAGARTTTTCTTTTTGTTTAGGTGGTGTGGTCCCTGTAAGATTCTCGGGCCAAGGTTAGAGAAAGCTGTGGCAAAACAAAAAGGTCGTGTTGCAATGGCAAAAGTCGACATTGATGATCACACAGACTTGGCCATCAAGTACGGGGTGAGAACTGATGCAGTTTTTCAGAGGTGTATGTTACTCTGTTACCGTATTTATGKTTKTTKKTTKTTTTTTTTGAGGATTTGTAATTTTACCAAGTATTTGTTTTTTATTGTAACATTTACTTTTATTTTGTTACATTCAAAACATAAAGATGCTACTTTAASTTCTTTACTTTAAATTTTAACACCTAGATACAAGCTACAAATTTAAATATGACCAAACTMACCATKAAAGTAGTTGTTTTTGCWCTATAAAAATGAAATGTTGAATTTATTTGACCAAGTTAATTAGTTCCATATATATTTGGACACTGACACAAATTTTGTCTTTTTACCTGTTTACTGAAACATATTCAAGTTATAGTTACATAATGTACATGGACATAAAGTCCAGACATTCAGCTTTCATTTGAGGGTATCACATTAAAATTGGATTAAGGTTTTAGGAGTTTCAGCTCCTTAACATGTGCCACCATGTTTTTAAAGGGACCAAAAGTAAATGGACAATTGACTCCAAGGCTATTTCATGGACAGGTGTGGGCAATCCCTTCGTTATGTCATTCTCAATTAAGCAGATAAAAGGCCTGGAGTTGATTTGAGGTGTGGTGCTTACATTTGGAAGGTTTTGCTGTGAAGTAAACGTGGTCAAAGGAGCTCTCCATGCAGGTGAAACAAGCCATCCTTAAGCTGTATAAACAGAAAAAAAAAACATCCGAGAAATTGCTACAATATTAGGAGTGGCAAAATCTACAGTTTTGTACATCCTGAGAAAGAAAGAAAGAAACCACTGGTGAACTCATCAATGCAAAAAGACCTGGGCGCCCACAGAAGACAACAGTGGTGGATGATCACAGAATAATCTCCATGATGAAGAGAAACCCCTTCA